CTTATATTAATACTGTTGTTAGCCCGGATGTTAGAGCGCGTGGGGTCTTATGTGGGAGTAAACCGGAGTACCCGGAGAAAACCCACGTTGTCGGGCAGGTGATCCCATACCTTTACTCGTCCGAACGAGGAATCGAACCCCGACCGCCTTGATGAAAGGCAAGTGCGCTATTCACCCAATAATCAACTTGAGAGAAGTGAGCCAAAGTGACAAGAAAGCGCAGAAGTGTCCACAAACCATAATTCGAATTCAAGACGATAGAACATGGACATAATATTCTTCTTTCATATCACAAAAAATATTTTAGACTTCCCATTGAAATCACGAAGGCGACCATATAGCTTACCCATGACTTTCATCAGCTTTCTTCTGAAACCATGTGTTTATATGACGAAAATCATGATGTTCTTAAATACAGAATCAGCTGCGATATGATAACACTGTAAGATGTTAAAGCAGGAATGATACATTCAAGAAAAGGAAAGTTCACGATCGGAAAGTCAAAACGTCGTCACGGTTATTGTACATCTTTTAAGTTAGCTGTCCCCGTCGGTAGATCTAGGAATGTGCCTCATTTTGAAGGGAAGTTTATGTACTTGTTTTCATTTCAGGATGGGTTATGTGATCAGCGTGGCCAATGAATTTCTTATAAGAAAACGCATTATCGATAAATTTGAAAGTGAATCTCAACTACTTGGCTAAGTTTTTATTATCAGTCCTGGCAATTCAGCCTCTGATGCAAACAAAAGCAAGTCGGTCAGGCGAGGGGCTCCGTTTGTTTCCATAGGCATGTCTTTAGTAATCATGCAGCCAGTCATGATGTGACACTGATTCGTGCTGACAGCTAGTCAGCAGATTTGTCCTCTGTCTTCTTTACACACGCATTGTTTAAAAGTTAGACAGGACAAATAAACCGACATAGGAGCCGAATTATGTCGTATTACTTTCGCAACATCACATGATATAATCATGTTGACAATCTAAATATTCCCAGATTATCAAACATAACGATATATAGACACTGGCATTTTCTGAGGGAAATACAGCGTATATGAATGACATAAATTGACTACTAGCACGTGCTTTCTCATAGATATGATAATGCTTTACAAACACTTTCTGACATATACGATGTATGACATTTGGCGGTATCATCAAATGTGATCTTTTAAATTCACAGGTTCAGCATTAAGCCCGCGTTTCGTCCACTAGTATAATCGCTTAACACTGACGGTACTTGTCGTATCTGGTATGGTAAGCCTAATTGATGAATGCAATCATAAAACCTATGATTGCAATCATAAAACCTATGATTGCAATCATAAAACCTATGATTGCAATCATCAATTAGGCTTACCATAATCATCAATTAGGCCTACCATACCAAATATGACAAGTATATAGCAATAAGTTTATATTTGCATCACAAGTTCACTCCTTGTACATACCAAACTAGAGCTTCGCTCATGTAGGGTTTGAATTTGAAATTTTAATTTTCGTGCGGCTTTCATTTTCACTGAAACTCACGAAAATACTGTTCGTTAATATATTTCCATTTTCAAAAAAATGTCGTCGGTCATTGAGATTTAAACACTCATCTGATAGTGCATTTTGTGTGCCGATATAATTTACACGTAGCAATAAAACTCCAGCACTGTGGCGACTGATTCATATTTAGTCACTGCATCATTTGAAGCGGAATACAAAGCGTCACATTAACAAGGATTTTGGCTTCAAAACCGACTTCTGTGTAATTCATCGTACTATGAACGCTAAAGTCATTACGTAGGTGCATAAAGTAGACTTAAAACACAAATATATAGTACATGGACCATAAACATTCGTCTCGTGATTTTGGCTCTGACGCAATTTTGTACTTGTCAATTTGACGCTTAACACTTCATTTCCACGATTAGGAGTGATTCTCTATCAAAATCGTTCCATCGACGATGCGCATATCAAACAGTTATCAGAAGAGAGTGCATTTTATTTATTTCTTCCTAGCCGCTGTAGGTTTTTCTATTCCTAACTCATGGACAGACCTGCAAGGAGTTGGATAACATTTTAAGTTCCCTTAGTAGTGGGCAACACCCTGGACGTGATTTCATTGGTCAATCTTCTAATTATGACGTCAAATAACAATGCTTTGCGACGTCATCTTCCATTGTGACGTTATGGGGTATTTTTTATTAGGTAAATATGATAACAATCCAAGACTAGTTGTGGAATTTCTATTTATGCTATTACGATTGTAGCAGAACGTGACTTGGTCAATCGTCGACGACCAGGTAGCTCAATTAGTAAAGCGTCCTTCTACATTTCGGAGGGTTCCCGGATTCGAACCCCGGTCTGGCCGTTGCATTTCTCTTTCTCCTGTTTCAAAATGGGCGAGCTTGCCATCCCTTGTTTCAAGCACTGAGTGGATGCTTAACAGGGGGATATCCGACCCTAAGTAGCAAGTAGTGTTGTCTTCGGAGTGTAAAAGTACACAGAAACAGACAAAGAGATAGACATGACCAAAATATCGATATTTAAAAGCAAAAATTAAGGAATGACGGAGCATATTACAAATACCACATGAAATATGTTAATTAACCCAACAAAATCCCGTTATTGAAATGGTTCCTTTCCTCACTGCATTGTGCGTTGTCCGTGTTGAGATCTGCCAGACGCACTCGTGTAATCAGTGGCACTCTTAGACCCACCGATCATCATACTCGTCTTACAAATTCTATCACACGCACAGACAACATTAGCTGTGGTCGTTTTTCACAGTAATTGGGTGACAGTGCTAGAAGCGCGTGCACTTCAGAAACATTTATACTGATTACACCCCCTTCAAAATGGCCGTCTACCCTACTTCAACTTGGTCGGAATTAATTTATCAGTTTGAGTGAGAATCATAAGTATTTTGAATCAACAGGAAAACAGAACAATTTCGCTGGTATTTGAGTGCCATTTATTATTTTGTGGGATTAAATATGTCCGTTTGATTCATGTGTTATCACAAAAATAGGTTTATCGTTTAGGATTTATAACAGGAATTAATGGCATGTAGTGTTTCAAGCCTGTCAACGTTTTGTGAGGATTCGCTTTGTTTTGTTCGAGAATTAATGTCATAAAAGTTTGTTTTTTATTTCATTTCCTCTGGTATTAGGCTGTTTGTTGATCGGGGATCGTGCACACGAGCTGAAGTTAAATGTGATCAGTGTGTATTCTTGTGGCATCATAATTTCAATTACATGGAATTAATTAGGAGATTTCAATTTATGACAGAGCATTATTTGTGACGTAGTGCAAAAGTTTTGTTACCAAAAATAGAAATTTATCGGGATTTGCTTAAATAGTGAGAGCTGATAACTGGGTGCCGAAACAAAGCTGTAAAGCAGCCGAAATATAATCTGGCAAATCTCAAGAGTGAAGTTTTTAGAGGTTAAATATTAAACTATCTAAAAACGGAAAATGAAATTGTTTGGTACAAATCATTATGTTGTGATTTGCACTGATAGGAGCTCTTTTGAAGTATTTAGTTAAGTATTGGCGTTATGTCTTCTGTATTTTAGTGCTTCCTAGTCGACAAAGATGAACAAAATATCTGCCCAACGTATCGTATGAGTCGTTAACTATTTAATCAGTGCTTATATATCTTAGTATTTACTCAATTTCCTTTCCTTTCGGCTATACACTGTACAAATGTACCATAAACTACACAGGAAATAATAAATTGGTTTCAGGAATAATACCAAAGTAATAATTCAAATGTACCATAAACCACACAGGAAATAATAAATTGGTTTCAGGGATAATACCAAAATAATAATTCAAATGTACCATAAACCACAAAGGATACCAAAGTAATAATTCAAAAAGTAAAAAGTAATTTGTTCTATCATTCTCAAAATAATCAAAAACAAAACAAAACAAATCGAGTTACTGCCGTGTTGTTGGGTTGCGATATCTATTTCTAGTCTATTCACGCCATTAGAGAAACTATCCTTTTTCTGATGGGTTTCGTGACTGTAGTCTTTATTCAACTTCCTTACAAAACTGTGACATTCCCAGGTAAGACTTGCAAAAAATTATTATAAATCCTGTTATTATTACCGAACGGTTGTTTATATGATAGAACTGACAGCAGAAAATTTCGTAAATTCCTATGGTCTGAATAAAATTGTGAAATACTAACAATAGATAAGTCCAAAAAGTCTTGTTTGACAATATACAACTATAAAGAAATAGGTGATGGGGTGTCTCATTGGGGTTCGATACCCCGATATAACAAGGAAAAGTATGGGGTCACCTGCCCGATCATTTGGTTTTTCTCCGGGTACTCCGGTTTCCTCCAACATAAAGACCCTGCGCGCTTACGTCCCCGCCAAAAAGAGAGATCAATATAAGCTGAAATAATTTGTTTCATAAATGTTGCAAAATTAAATAAAGTTTGTATTATAAAGAAATGTCTAGCTGTTTCCCTGTATCGACACATAACTTATAAATATTCATAAATACCGGAAGATTCAAAAGATCAGTATTATAATACTAATAAAATAATTGCACCTGAATGTTTTAAATCGCCAGACTTATCAGTCCCTGTAACAGTCGCACTATTATATATGCTGTCGAAATATCACGAGCTGTACGTGTGGGGGATGTAGTAACCTATACCTATTTCAATACATCACTAATAGGCAAGCCCGTCGGTAACGTAAGTCAGGTAGAAAAAATGCAACCTGATAACAAATAATGTCTTGAATGTGACCTTATGCTCCAGTTTCACGAGTAGTTCAACACATAACGGCTTAATCAGTTGGAATGAATCAGAATAATATCATTCACACACGGTATAATATAGTGTTCGAATGTAGCTAGATAACGATGTAGTTATACCGGCCAAACGACGTTGTTTTTCATCCCCTAAACACCAACCTAAACTATATCAACAGTGTAATAAATCAGTGTCATCTCTTTATATTTGTCATTTCTATTGTCTTTTTTTCCAGACAATTACACGGAGGTGGAGGTCAGTTTGTTCATAAACAGCATCGACTCCATCAGCGAGAAAACGATGGTGAGTAGCTAGCTTTACATTATCTGTGTACATATTGTACCGCGATAGAACAATGCCGTGTCTTCTTTCTATTTACGTATATGTTGTAGAATGGGGAAACATTACTAATGTTCCCCTTTATGTTCCGGTAGTCTGACCTCGGTTTCAGGGTAGCCTATATATATCCCAAAATACCAATCATCTCAAATTTGCCCGGGAAATATAAGTGGGACTTGTTTTGGCGATAAAAATAAGCCTTCCTACCCGCGAGCTTTGACGCCATGTAGTGGTTAGTAAATAAATGACATCCTGTCTTATGTATACAATCCATAAAAAAACTATGATTCGATACAGAGTAATATTTTTAAAACAGCAACAACTTTGATGAGAAGCTGTTTAGCATTGGTCTGTTGAGGGAGGGCTGAGGGTCTGGAAACTCCAGGAGTGTTTTACCAAAGTCAGCACTGACAAGGCCCTCTAAACCATATCACCAGTCACCGTTCCGTGTTCTTAACGTTTTCTATTCTGCTTTTTAAAAATCTTTCTAAAATCACGAATGGAATCGCAGATTTATGTTTACCCCACCTGTGTCATTAATAACTTGACACGCACAGACGACAGCAGTATTGCTGTAGGTATAATGTATCGTTTGATATCGGCATGTTTACACAGCCACTACATGAATAGTTTTCCGATAACTCATTTATCACACTATTCTGACATGCCTGTGTGTGCTACCTAAATCGAAGTCCTAATTGTTTCTGGGATTGAATGACAAATATCGATCCAGGTCAAAACACGCGGGGTAATTGTTTATTCCTTCTGTCTATCTATTGTTATTCATACCGTTAGGAACTTTGTACTTCTTTGTTTCGAATCCAATTTTGTAATAATCCTTTCCGGGACATTAGACTGATCCGTATATAGCCATCCCGGCGTACGAGCACGCATGAGTACAAATCAAATACACCGATTTGCTATTCATGAATCCTGTACGTATCTATCAATGTGCTGTTATAGGACAGCTTTATGTGTTGTGTCCTCGTTTTTTATGGAAAAAATACCCATTATCTTTACATACCGTAGACGCATGCTGCTTTAGCCTCAAAGAGGTATTAGCATTAGTGAAGCAAGTACCATATTCAATTCTACTTTCAATCTAACCCACTGAGAACACTGATAGAATTAGAACGCATGTCGAAATTTCAATTACGACGGTAGTCCTGCTCTATAGGTCGACAGTCATTCTGATAGACTTTATAGACAGATTATCGACAGACGCTGAGATAGATTTAGCCAGTCGACTGTCGGGATTGATACGATCGGTGTAAGCCTTTTCCCCCCGACAACGTGATCCTGTAAGTTCGAGCTTGACAAGGTTTTAAATTTCATGATTTTGAATGTTCAATTACGCTTACAATGCTGTATATGTGAACATGGAATCGGCAATCACAACTCTTGCGGGTGGTTTGTGGTATGTACAGAATAATTATTGTCAGACATTTGGCTGAGGAAATTACACACACGCCTTTGTCAGACTCCGCTTCAAACTCACGCAACATCTAAGTAGGTCACATGACAGGACTGGAATATGTACCGATGGCTTTTTCTCGATTCCCTCAATTAAACAAAGCATTAGGAGAAGAACGTTGTGTGAAGTATTGTAGTCTATTTCTTGATTGTATTGACATTATTTATCTATTTTCACCTGTGGTAAACTGTTCTAAGTAAGGTAAAGTAGGGATTTGTAGCTGGAACTGATAATAAAAAAAACGCGTATCATTTAAACACACACGAGACATCGATAACACGTGGCGTAATAGATACAAGAAATCATTCCCACCTATGACCTTCAGCTACCCATTCTGCCTCAAATCAAAAACAACGCAGATCCATGTGGTCCAGTCATATGAAATACAGTCGTTCAGACAACTGCCATATCAAATTGTTTCGTCCTATTAAGCCACATCTGATTTCCTGTCTAACTCAACATTCAATTACTGCAGCTTCACATTCCAGAAGATGTAGAACCTCGAAATTTAGCGGCTCTCCACTTCGATGCAGTAAAAAGATGACTACTACCGTAGACTCGAAGCTGAGCCTGCGCACCGCGTCTACGCATTATTCTTCCGCGATGAGGCGTCAGAAAATTTGATATCATATGAAATCATCAACAAAAATTAAATATGACCTTTAAAATATGGTTTTGTGTTTTGTTTCTTCATAATTTGGCTGTATTGAAATATCAACGTACACCTTCATGTTGTATGACGGTCCTTCAATGACAGACTATATTTTATTTTACATTACATAAATACGTAGACTTACACAAGCTCCAGAAGCTGGGACAAACTATCAGAATTGACTTCACAAGTTCCGGCTATTGAAAAAAAACACGTTGATTGAAATATAAAGTTTTAAATCTTGCTTTGGTCGATTTCATTTGGTGATGAATTGAGTTGGTCTTAAATTTGTTTCAAGACCATGTCAAATCATCACCCCATGAAATCAACCAAAGCAAGACGCTCGTGACGTAGGCCTAACATGTGGTTTACTTATGACGTCATAGATTAAGCTTGTTCAATGAGAGTCTTGTCGCTTCGCTTTGGATAACATTCAGTGTATGACCCTGCGTCAAACACTCAAATGACCACGGTTAATTATTGGCGCCAATTTTATTTAAATAGAGCTGTTCCGCCAATATCGTTTAAAGGACGACCCATACACAATTAATAAATGAATTATTCAAGACCAAATAGATAAAATTAAACAATTGTTCTATAGTAAAAATGTAAATATATGGATACGACTTGCGGGCTCCATGCAATATGAATGTAACAGATTTGCGTTCATACCGGTATGAAAATTACAAAAACGCCGTTCAATCCATATGTAACACTTTGCTTATACATATAAATATTACCTACACCAGTAAGTGACAACAGAACTTATCATATAAATAGCCGAAGAATACGCATACCCAACGCAAAGTCGATGTTTTGGCAGCGTTGAACTTGTGACGTCACAAATGTGAGCTACCAATATCGAGGTGATCGCCGCCGAGGCAAAAGTGTTTTTTTCTAAAATAAATTGCAATATCTCAGAAAACGAAAGCTGTCACGACATTCGCACTTTTCTTAGGTTTTTATTGTTCTATATAGATTTTTTCGTTACGGTTCATAACTGGCTTTGCATTGCACGTATATGTTTTCGAGCTATGTGCTAAAACTACAGTTTTCTGATACAGACACCTTGACAAGATGCGATACGTGGTCCAACTGTTCCTTTATCGTGCTGAAGTCCTGGCTTGTCAGTATGTTGAAACACCGAGAGGGAGGAAGCCATTGTGCGTTATAGACATGTTGCAGACTTCTCCATATAAAATTCTTAAGGAATAGAAACATCTGTCATAGTGACGAAGCAAATCGCATGTAGAAAAGCGAGAATATCAGATCGAATTATATCAGACCATCAATGAAATAAAAACTGATGAGATTTGTATGTATGCTGAGCACGATTGATAATCCTTAGTATGAGGAAGTGTATAGATCCTACACCCTTTCAGAATAATTCAAAACACACATCTTGATTTTTTTCTTCATGCACATTTGAATGGCAAATTACATACACTTTTCGAAAAGCATGCCTTACACTATCCTCGATTTCCAGCGGTTACGATCACCTACGCTCTCTAGGTGATCGTAACCCCGGTAATCGAGGATGGTCTTACACGTGTGTTGCGCTCCTTACATAGTGCTGCAGTCATCAATCATTTCAAGCAAATGAGACTGTCCTCGACGATGAATGTTCCCCCCAGTTTTAGTAATATATTTGCGATAATAACAGTTCATTCTTTTTGCTTGGCCTTTTTTATATTCTAACACAACAATCCCACATATTTTGTATTTCGGCATCATTTGTTTGTGTTTAACTAATCAATAAAATTTCTAATGCCAGTTGGAGGATTATATCATTTTAAATGATGTCTTACTTGTACTGTACACGTGTACAGGGATTTGTTGACATGATTCCATAGGAGATAAATCAATAGGTATGTTAATAAAATATGAATTAAATGTTCCATTGATTTGAAAAATATTTATTACTTAATTAAGAAAAAGATCACATGCCTATTTATTAAAAAAAAAAGTGAATTTGAACGTGGATTTAACATTCGAATACATAGGCCATAGACGAATACGGAAATACAAACTGTTTTAACCCAAGAAACACCTGTCTCGGTTTTAAGAAACTTATTAACCACTGTTTTTCATTATTTTGAACACTTTCCCAAAGGAGGACCACTTTTCCGGCATGTGATTTGTTTTTGCACATTACATCACGGAATCAAAATGTTTATTCAAAATTTGGTCCATGGATGGGAAAGTGTTGAAAGTAATTTTAAGTCTGGGAAACCCCATCGCTTTCATAGTTATAGTAAATCAAAAATATCTATTATCTCAGCAGTTCAAAAATTCATATTCAATTAGTTTTATATCTATTCTATGAATGTTCGCTACCAGAAATTATTTATGCATTGATATGTTTTTTCGTTTTCATAAATGCCGACTTATGGATATATGGACAGTTTTCCGCCATAGATCTTTCTCTCTTTCCCCCGCAAACATTATGTGATCAGTTGATCCATCTGTTAAGAAACCTTTCAGCAAAGCATAGCCGAACATGTTACATAAAGAAATGTAAAATTCGGGTGTTACACAGGAACTGTAACACTCCGTCGTAACACAGGATTGAATCATTTAATGGTAACACAGGAAGCGTACCACTCCGTAGTAACACATACCACTCAATTATAACAGAGGAAGTGTACCACTCCGTAGTAACATATGCCACTCAATTGAAACACAGGAAGTATACCACACCGTAGTAACATATGTCACTCAAAAGTAACACAGGAGTGTACCACTCCGTAGTAACACATACCACTCAATAGTAACACAGGAAGTGTACCACTCCGTAGTAACATATGCCACTCAATTGAAACACAGGAAGTATACCCC